GTTTCAGGCAATAAGCAAAGCATGCGCGCACTAGCATGAAAGCATAATTAGCTATTGAGCGGCGTCAAATCCTAAACTGGTAAATGCACCTTGTCATCGGCTCATGGATTCATCATCATCATCTCTGCGGTCAGTCTTTAAGAGTCGACGCTCATGCTTCAATGATCCTTTAATAGATGTTTGGGTCATGAAAGGCTCGCGCTTCGTTAAACTCCAGGGTAATTACATTCACTTAACTAGTGCTTCTGTGTTCGTTATCTTGTCACGGTATTAAATTATTTTAATCGCTTAGACATTAAGATGATAATGCATGGCATGACATTGTGGAAAATGTCACTGAGCAGCATTGGGAACCTGAAGGAGAACTAGTTTATGGTAAATCACAACAACAACAAATAATATATATTTATTTACTTATAAATCATACAATTAAAATATTATATTTAATAGGCCTGTCAAATCGATTAATTGTGATTAATAGCATCTAACATAAAAGTTTGTGTTTATATATACAGTATATATATATGTGGGTGTATACTGTATATATAAACACAAACTTTTATGTTAGATGCTATTAATCACAATTAATCGATTTGACAGGCCTAAGGTTTATGTATATATATATATATATATATATATATATATACAGTCTCACACACACACATATATATATATATATATATATACACAAACCTTAGATGTGATTAATCGCGATTAATTGATTTGACAGCACTAATATATATCATAAAATAATAAAAAAAAATATTTATATGTATAATTTTCTTAAACAATTTGATTAAATATTTTAATTAAATGTTAATAATTTTAAATCCATTTTAATTTAATTTGTATTTTTAGTGGAATATTATATCTCAAATTATTTTAATATTAGGAAATCAATTTTCTCAGCCAGCTTCATTGTTATTCTTCATCAGCAGTGCCTAAAATGTGTACAAACTGAATGTACAGCATTCAACATAATTGATTTCCATCATAATGGGCTATATGCACGCATAAGTTGCGCATTTGACGCAAGGACGCTCGTCTATTTCCGGTTGTGGAGATTAAAGCGGAGGAAAACGGGATTATGGCAGAGTCTTCAAAATGTACTGTCCTCCCGTCTTTGAAACGAAACGTACATACGTTTAGATGTAATTTTATATACAGTTATGTTTATTTATTATAATTTTAAAAAGAAGCATAAACACAACGAGGGGTGTTATCTGTTTTTGTGACTAACGTTTCTTTAGTATAACCATGGAGTATAAAATTCAATATATATAGAGCCCATTGGTTCATTGACGAGCTTTGAACTTAAAAGTCTGGGTTTCCCGCGTCATCATCATCATCACACACACGAGCTGAAGCAGCATATGTTCATGAATATGACACAAACTCTCCCAGACCGGCTCAAACATGCGTCGAACTCAGACTTCAGACGTCCCTCGTGTCAGTCAGGCTATATATAGTGTTTATAGATGACATTTCATCTGCGCCTCTTACCTCCCACTCAGCATTCACACTCGCTCCACAGTCCCGCTAGTGTGTCGAGGAACATTAGCTGAGGCCGGGGAAACGTTAGATGAAATAACATGATGTGAATGATGCTCAACGCCAGTGCAGAACGAGATGTGATTGTCTGGTGCTTCATAAATAATGCTGAACGGTGTCAATCAAAAACCGGCGAGATCCTGAAGCCCTGCTGTCAGCACTGAACTCCTGCTCCGGTTCAACATCACTGCGGACATTTACTATCAACAGGATCGCCGTATTTACATAGTGCAATCGAAGTATTAAAGGGATAGTTCACTTTGAAATTAATTTTTGCTATGTTTTATCTTACCTCAAGGGCATCCAAGATGTAGGTGTCTTTGTTTCCGCAGTATTTTCAATTTTGATATTTTTAGGTCAAACCGTTCATATAATGGAGGTCTATGGTCACCACCTCAAAGAGCATGCACAGAGAAGTCCAAATTAAAGATGATTTAATGACTCGTGAATGTAAGTACACATTGATGGCCTAAGACACCAAACGAGCGGTTTGTGTGAGAAAACGAACAGTATTTATATCGTTTTTACGTCTTGTAACCACAGCCACGTCCAAGTGATCTGAGGGCGCGGGCGATTTATTTGTAAATAATGTTCGTTTTCTCACACAAACCGCTCGTTTCGTGTCTTAGGCCATCAATGTGTACTTACATTTACGAGTCATTAAATCATCTTTAATTCGGACTTCTCTGCGCATGCTCTTTGAGGTGGTGACCATAGACCTCCATTTTAGACCGATAGACGAACAGTTTGACCTAAAAATATCAAAATTGAAGACACCTACATCTTGGATGCCCTTGAGGCAAGCTGAAACATATCAAAAATTAATTTCAAAGTGAACTATCCCTTTAATGTAGTGCAATCAATGCATGGCAAATTGTATACAGTATACACTACAATTCAAAGTTTGGGGTCGGTAGTTTGTTTATGTTTTTTTAAAGAGCTCTCTTCTGCTCAACAAGGCTGCGTTTATTTGATAAAAGACAGTAAAAAAAAAAGTGAAATATTTTTACAATTTCAATGAACTGCTTTCTATTTGATTTTTTAAAAAAATTCTTGTATAAAAGCTGAATTTTCAGCAGCATTACTCATTACACATGATCCTTCAGAAATCATTCTAATATGCTGATTCGCTGCATTTCTGATTATTATTACGTTGAAAACAGTTGTGCTGCTTCATATTTTAATAGAAAGGATCTTTTGCAACATTATAAAAGTCTTTAATGTGATCATTAAAGCGGCAGTACGGCCAATATTTCGTCTTCTGTCGATATACTTAATGCTTGATAAATATTCTTAATTTTTTGATACTTGGTTTGAAGATCAAACTATCCATGTAAGAGTCCTGATTCCTGAGATCTTCACTCATAATCATGATCTGAAGCACACACTCCTCCGCTCTCTGTGTTAAACACTCATGACTCAGCTGGTCTGAGGAGCCCAACACACCCCTGGACACACACTTCTCTAAAGACACTCGTTTTTCAGCTGCAGGGTCTGACAGATCAATAGCTCTGACTCAGAGTCTGTGGAGGGGATGATTCACAGCGTCAGTCCAGGATCAGCCACACACACACATGGCTAGTGTGCCATTTCAAAGAAGATAAATACATTAGCATAATCTTTAATGATTTTGACCTCAGATATCGGATGGCTCAATAACTGGAGTGAAGCGCTCTCGTATTAACTCACATCAATCTTGGGAAAGAAAACACATTGAACAGTTTCACCTGGAGCAAATTATTCATTCGATTATTTATTCAGTGTCTTCAACTGTCCAATTTTGGTGAGCTCTTGCCAATTGTCGCCTCTTTTTCCTATTTGTAGTGGAGATGAGTGGTGCCCGGTGGGGTCTTCTGCTGTTGTAGCCCATCCGCCTCAAGGTTGTGTGTGTTGTGGCATACCTCTGTTGTAACGAGTGGTTATTTCAGTCAAAGTTGCTCTTCTATCAGCTTGAATCAGTCGGCCCATTCTCCTCTGACCTCTCGCATCAACAAGGCATTTTGGCCCACAGGACTGCCGCATACTGGATGCTTTTCCCTTTCCACACCATTCTTTGTAAACCCTAGAAATGGTTGTGTGTGAAAATCCCAGTAACTGAGCAGATTGTGAAATACTCAAGACACCAACAACCATGCCACGCTCAAAATCCCCTTTCTTCCCCATTCTGACATTCAGTTTGGAGTTCAGGAGATTGTCTTGACCAGGGCCACACCCCTAAATGCATTGAAGCGACTGCCATGTGATTGGTTGATTAGATAATTGCATTAATGAGAAATTGAACAGGTGTTCCTAATAATCCTGTAACTGCATTAGCTTAAAGCTACATAGTCCACGAGTAAATGAAGAGTTCAGATGCAAAAGCCTCTAAATGCCATTTGAAATTTTCTTCTTTAATGATGATTTTTATCAAGCTTGTATATTTAAGTTCAGTAATTTCACTTAAATAACAATTAATAGGTAATCATCATAGCCATTTAAGTGAAATTACTGAACTTAAATATACAAGTTTGATAAAAATCATCATTAAAGAAGAAAATTTCAAATGGCATTTAGAGGCTTTTGCATCTGAACTCTTCAAATATTTATTTTAGCTGAAAGCATTAGTTATGTTTACAAGTACATTAATTGAATGCACAGGTTGAGAAGATTTGTTTGGTCCTTGCTTTTTTAGTTCAATTATTAAGAGTAATTCAATGTTACAACTATAACTTTTGACCAGTAGGTGTCGCTCTTGGTCTGAAGGTTATTTGACCCCATTTTAGAGAAGTTTGGTTAAAGTTATTAGGAGAAACATTGATCGAACGGCAGGAAAAGAGATGTCGTGACTCTTTTCCAACACTGTTACAACCAATGACATCAGTTTGGGGGCGGGACTATCCGTTTGCCTGGCCAATGGTAGTAGGGCTATCAGGGAAACTTAGTGCTGAACATAGACATATACACTAGACCTCACCTTGGCTACGGCAGTTCATTGGAACGAATGCGTCAATAGAGCCGCCATCTTGAAACAGGGGAGCCCCTCCACTTTAATGCATCAGCGTCAATGTAGTAGACACAGGTCTAACGCAAATAAAATCACCATAAATCATCATGAATGCGATTTTTCTTGTTTTTTTGGTTTGTTCCAACGGTCAGACATGTATTTATCATTGATTCCGGAAAGAATTTTTTTTTTTTTAAACATTCTTCCTAGTTCAGATTTCATTCGTGAACATCATACGCTGCACAAAAGTCCGCCACCATCAATGAATTCGAAGTAAAGGCAGAGATAGCAGCGTTACCTAGCTACTTCCTATGACAAGACCCCTGTTCCAAGATGGCGGCGGTTTTGACGCATGCTTAGAACCCCAAGGTGAAGTCTAGTGTATATGTCTATGAGTGCTGAAATGCCACATTTCACCATGTGGTGTTGACTCGTTCACTCATTATCGTGTCATGTGCATTCACAGGTATGAGCGAGTGCCCGTGATTCTCGTGGGAAACAAAGTGGACCTGGACAACGAGCGCGAGGTTTCGTCGAGCGAGGGTCAGGCTCTGGCGGAGGAATGGGGCTGTCCGTTCATGGAGACATCAGCCAAGAGCAAAACCATGGTGGACGAGCTGTTCTCAGAGATCGTGAGGCAGATGGACTACGCCTCGCAGCCGGATAAAGAAGACCCGTGCTGTTCCTCCTGCAATATACAATAACCCTCGCAATCAGGAGCCACGTGGAGATCATCGAAAACTGGTGCATCTACACACTCGAGAACGCTGCCGATCTGTTGATTTACATGGAAACGGTGCGACGCAAAGACGAAAGTGATGTTGTGGCGTCCAAACAAAAGTTGCGAAATGCAACTTTAAGCAGTGATACATTGATTTCAACAGGAATGGGGCGTTGCGTTGACGTAGATGAACAAAAACGTGGGCTATTGGTGGGGTGTTCGAACAAACGTTTAGATAAATTTAACGTTTAGGCAAAGATTCAGATCTTTTGATGGTGCATTGCAAAAAAATAACATACGCAAATCCGTGCAAACAAAAGTCGAGAATTGTGACTTTTGGGAAATGCTGCAATCCATTGATTTTAATTGGAATGATGCTTTGCGAAGACGTAGATGAAACACATTAGGGTTTGGAAATACATTAGCCTATTTTGATTTCAATGGAAATGTGCATTGCACACACACACAAAAACGAATTTTAGCAAACCATTGCGAAGAAATCAGCTTTGCAATGACGTAGATGAAAAGCGCAAGGGTTTACGAAAACCGTGAATTGAGAAATGTAACTTTTAGGCAATGCTTCATCAGATCCGTTGATTTGCAAAGACGTAGATGAAAAATGCAAACCTCGTTTGCGACAATTCTGCAAATAAAAGTTGAGAAAACACATTGTTTCGCATTCGTCAAGCTCTTCAGTTTTTTTCCCGCGTGTAAAAATGAATATGCTTTATCTAATCAAACGAATTGTGGCAACAGATTACAAGCAATATTATTAATTAAATTTAACAAATTAGAAGTGAGTGATAATTTTTCAAATTAATTCCTTAACAGTTAACCATTTAAAATGAGTAAAACTTACAACAACAACCCAAAAAAAACATAAATTGAAGTCACCATTATGGTGATCAGTATTTGTTTTAGGTTTGTTTTAAAATGACGGTTTTCTCCTGCTTATTAACATCAGGTGTCTTCAATGTTGGCAATATAAAATAAAGAGTTCGTCTGTCTGTTAGTGAGATATTTTTGGTGTAAACTTTACTCATTTTAAATGGTTAACTTTTAAGGAATAATTTGATTAATTATTACTTAATTCTAATTTGTTAAATTTAATTAATAATATAGCTTGTAATCTGTTGCCACAATTCTATTGATTAGATAAAGCGTATTCATTTTTACAGTGTGTTTCCTACAAACGCCTAAATTATGATCAATTAATTGACAAGAAACTCCAAAAAAAAGGTCAAAGGGGTTTTAAAAATGCGCCATACTTGAGTCTTTCCTTTCTCCGCATGTTTTCGACACGTTCATTCAGAGTTTGGCGCTGTTCGTAAGAGACTCATTTCGTTTGCACATAGAGAACCCGATGTCTTAAACTGCCATTACTTTAATAAAGAGCCAGAAAGAGCTAGTTTTGTTCTTCCAAACGGCCCACAGTCGTCGTTGAAGGGGACGTTTCCTCCGAGGGACTATAATCGGACGTCTGGTGTTTGAGATGTTGAGTGTTTGAGGGACATTTTCTTTGAGGAAGCCAAATAGGATCCTGAGAAGCACTTTTCTTTTGTACCTTCGTGTCCATTTTGATTTACGAAACTGCTGGGAATATTCAGCCGATTATGTTGTGTTTTTTTTTTTTTTCTCGATATAGAATGTTGCAAATGATGTATTTTGTAATAATGTAGTAAAACAATCATGGGACTTGCTTTAGATTAGACTGTAAAGCTTTGAATCAGGCAGGAACAGTATTTCGTGAAACGCAATCGGCACTTTCCATGAAAAGGGTCCTGTTACTTTTTTTAAGCAATAAATACAAACGACTAGTTGATAAGTTAGATAAACACTTACAAATCAACTGACTCGAGCCTTTAAAATGGTGATTTTGGCCTGTTGCACCTCAGAGGTCTTCATATTCAGCTGTTAAAAATAATCATTTTGATAATGATGTTCGGTTAGGGGGATATTATTTAAAAGTAGATCACAAAATGTTAATTAAATTTTGTTATTAAATATGTAATATGTGACCTCCTGAGGTGGACGAAGCTCTGTTTTGAACCCTGTTTGTGGAAAGTAGCCATTAATCTGGAAGCCTGTACTAGATGTGATTGTTAATTTAATGATATTGTGGAACGGGAATAATCATAATGCAGTCAACCTCATGAATGTTGTACAGAAACACAAGGAGGAAAACAATTATAGTGGCTAACTTCATTATCAGTTCCTCGATTTATCTGCTTTGAGCAAATATGACAGGAATAATAACAATAATAATAGAAAAATCATTTTATCATACCTTTCTCAGGAGAGTTACAGGCTACCAAATCTGTTATTAAAATTTATGAGGATATGTTTCTTTTTTTTTCATTTTATTTTTGTTTATTTAATCATTAGAGTATAAGATAATAATGTTTTCTTAATCTATATTGTCGTTTGGTCTTTTTTTTGGTATTACAGAGCAATTCTTATTCAGACCATCACGTCTGTGATCCGTAAGATCATCCAGAAATGTAAAAATGTGTAAAATTGTATTGAAAACAATTCAAGATGGTTGTGTGTAGTTTATAAAAAAAGATGCCAAACTTAGCGGTTGATTTAGCGGTCATATGCATGGCTAAAACATCATTATTTGTGAATATTACAGCAGATGAGACTAAACGAGTGGAATAGACACACACACACACACACTCAACAGCCCTGGACGATCAGTTATGGGTGACTCTGCCTTGCCATGTGAACTAAGGGTTTGCCTTTTTAACTTTCATCATTGATCTTATATTTTTTTAAGTGAACATTTACCCTCTCCCACATGGTAAATGGATTGTGAATACGGTTTCATTCAACACGACAATAAAAACATCTTATTCACAGAAGTGGACGCAGGTTTGAGTTTGTCTGCAAAAGTAACGACTTTATTCAACTATTCATTTCCTTCTCTGTGGGCCTCGAGATTTCACGTAGTGTAACAGCGCAGCGCTTCTGTGTTGTACGTCACACGCACACATGACCAGCGTCGGCCAATAGTGAGCCTACGTGTGACGTACAACACAACTTAAGATTGAGCCACTGTAGTCACTCGGACTATTTTAACGATGTCTTTCATAACTTTCTGGGCCGGTAAGTTTCAATTACAATAGAAGCCTATGAAGGAGTGATCCTGCTCTCAGATTTAATCAAAAATATCTTTTCATTTTTGAGTAATTACTGACAGAGTTTACATTTTGAAGTAAAATGTAACTATGAACTATGATATAAAATGAACTATCCCTTTAATGAATCACATGGAAGTGTCTGTCATCCAATCAGAATTCAGAATCAAATATCTGTATTATTATTTATATACTATGATAGTACTTTTATTTTAATATTTTCAGTTTTCATTTAAATTTTGTTTTGGGTTGTAGTTGTTTTATGTGCTTTTGAAAAATATTTCTATTAAGCTTCAGCTAATTTTTATGTCAGTTTTAGTCATTTTAGTTTTTCAACTTTAGCTTATCTTATTTCAGTTTGTTGCCAAATTAACATGTTTAATTAATTAATATATTTATATAATACATAAAATGTATATATATATATATATATATATATATATATTAAATAATATATTAACTATGTAATATTATAATAATTTTACAATTAATTATTAATATTTGTTTAATAATTATTTTATATTGTTGATATATATATATATATATAAACATAAAATAATTAACCTATTATATGTATTCATTTTATATATATATAATATATATATATATATATATATATGACATTAAAAATACATACAAGCCACGATATATAGGCTCTATATACACACAATAGGTATAGGCCTACAATTATAATAATATAAAATAATTATTATATATTTTTAAATAATATATAATTTATACTTTTATGTAATATATATTTAATTATTATTTTATATTGTATTATTCTTATTTTATATTGTAATGACCAAAATGACGTTTTAATAAACAATAGCAGTTCTGTGTGTTATAAATACATACTTCACATATTTTTTCACTCCTATTAGAGTTAAGATGATGAATTTCTTGACTTTAATGTTGCACTTGCAGCGTTTGGAGTGAATGCGCTGTTATCTGGTGGAATGAGTGAGACGTTTGACAGGAGATTTCACACACCACCCACTGTACAGCTTTCATCCTCCTCTGAGATCCTGCAGTGATGGAGAGATGGATCAGTGTGTGTGAAGAACAGGTCTATGGAGGACAGGATTCGCCTCAGGCCACAGTACTGGGTGTCATGGCAACAGGACGATAACACAACATCACGACGGTATCTCTGTTTATGTTCAAGTGGGTTTTGTATGTGGTGTGCAGAGGCTTTACATTCTCTCAAGCCCTCTTTAATGTCTCAGTGTTTTCTCCCACACACACAGCAATGACATTAAATGGAGTCTCATGAATTTCAGAAGAATCAAACGGCTCACACTTGACAACGATGCAAGTCAGAGTGAGACCACAATGTGAACTCTTTGTTCTGGTCATAAAAAAGCTCTGTGTTGTGAAAAATTTAAATATGACCCATCCACCGACCCGTAGCTTTAATTCGCTAAACAACCTGCCGTCTATCTTCAGTTCAGAATCTAAGAATAAAGTTTATTTTCATAGAATGACATGGAACTTTGCACCGCCACCTTTCAATTGTCTGCACTAACAAAAGCAATACAAATCAAGTTGAATGAAAAGGAATTCATACTTGAAAATGCATATCTGTGTTTGAAATCGCCCCCTTATGCACCAGATCGAGAAACAAGCGCGCCGCCATCTTCTTTTTGCGGTCGCTCGTTGCGGGAGCTTTTGAACTGGATTTACGTCTAAAGTTAACGAAAGTTATCATGAGGATTGTATTGTTTAAAGTAGATGTCAAATGTCAGTAGACCGGGAATATTTTAAAACGAGCCGTTCATTCATAAAAGACAAGATCGCTGTGAAAATACAGACCGGACAACGAGCGCAACGTTGAAAAGGGGCGGGGCTACATAATTCGAATTTGGTGTCGTACTTGCTGTTGTTGCATTAGTTATGTGTTACTTTACTTTTGCGTTACTTTTTCTCAACTGGGCTGGACTTGTATATTTCTACTCAGTGTAAAGGCCTTTTCACACTTAAAGTGAAATGGATTAGCCTCGGGCTAAAGCTAAATGAAATGCAAATTCACGGAGAGGTAAATAAGAGGAAAAAAGTAGAATACTTATTGAAAGTAACTCAGATATTTTGTTGTAAATTTAAAAGTAATACATTACTTTATTTGTCAGATAACTGTTACTGTATCTGATCGTGGTATTCTGAGGCTTGCAGTTTATATGAATTTCATAATTGGTTTAGGGGTATTTTTATACTTATTTAAAAACACACAAAAAAAAAATTCATATGTCTTGAGTGAATGAATATGACAAACAGAGTTTATGTTCCAAGATACGAATGATTTTTAAATGATATATTGGGCTATATTACTTTTT